GATATAGCGAAGTCATTTTGAATCCCTAGCTATGACGTTGCGCACGGTGTTGGTACACATAGACGTTACGTCAAATTAACGTTAATAGTCGTTTGAACCTAATACATGTACGTACCTGTTTTAGATCTTTAAAATGAATTTATTTTTTCAAAAGTATAAAAAAAAAATAAATGAATGAAATAAAAGGGCACATAATATTCAATGTTTGAACCTTCTTTTTTTGAAATATTTAGGTGTTTATAAATGAATCTTAATAATAAAATTTTAATTAATGAAATGCCAATGACACTCAGTGAATATTCCTCTTTCTATTTTTCTCACTTGACTGTCTCATAAGTTGAAAATAAATAAGTCTTATTCCCTTTCAACCTCCTTCAATATATTTTTTACAGTTAGGTCATTGCATGTCTTTTATTTCTGTATAGCGTCCGTAAGCGCTTTAGAGAAAAAAATGAGAGTTGATTTTATTTTATACATCCTTCTTCTGTGGAACTAGTGTTATTTTGAATTAAAAAAAATAAGTATCAATACGTAATATCGCGATTACTTCGCAGTTATCTAACTTACTACCGCTCTTTTGCGAAGGAGTCGAGAAAGCTCAAATCTCACGAGATTACAGGGGCACATGGCTTTGTTTACAGTAGTGACAATCGAATGATTTGAGCAATTTTATGCCGAAAGTACAATGTATTGCCAAGAATTTAATTCCAAATAGTAGATTGTCAAATAAGAAAAGTTTAGATTATTTTATCAGCTTTAAAATGCGACGATTTTAAATGAAAATTTAATTAGAAGAGCCCACTTGGTTAAACATATCGCTAAAAATGTAACATTTAAAGATTAGATCCTCTCAAAAATTAATTAGACTGGTTCGGCAATTGTTATGCAAGGTATTCCACAAGGATTTTTCACTTATCTGTCCTTATTAATTCTACAATGATCGATCTTGCATTGTATCCAATACCACAGTTGTCCCCAGCTAACAGACGTTTCCTACCTCCATCGCGAAAGAGTTCCGCTAAGTTAAGTAATCGCGATATCAAGTATTTGATATATATTGAGGAGATGAAAAAAGGAGTGATGAAGACATTTCACCAGATTGGAAATATGGTTTATCACGAAAATTCTAAAATCTTTTAACTATTTTTGGTGAAAAAAGAGGGGGTGCCTCTTATAATGCATACTTCATTTAGAATGGTACTTTTTGTGGAACGATATCATTTTGGGGTTTTCATAATTTTTTTGCTTTGATACATATACATATGATGATTAAGTGTAATACATATTATTTGTGAAAAATCTCCAACAAGCTCCGGGGTAGAATATCAGGGGTGGGGTGGGGGTGGTTCCTGCATGTCCACAAGTACCTGGTACTACGGACCTGCATGAAAAAAGCCACTGCGATAATAATTTGACGCTCCCAACGTCATTTTTACGCATACATAAGCTACATACATGTACATGATTGCTTTATATCTTACATTAGTTTATATATTTTTGATATGTTACTGAGACATATTTAGTAACAATACAGTTACTCGGGAGTGCATAACAAAATGGCTTCACTTAAGAAAGCCTTCCTAACATTTACGTTAATATAAAAAAGTAAAGTAATATAAAATGTATCATTTCAATTAATCTAAGAAATATATGTACTAAAAGATTATTCATCAAAATTAATATTTGTCTAGGATTTATGTCTGGTACACATATCCATTTCGGCTAATGACGGTGTAAGGAAACGATTTTTTACTGTTAGACACATCACTTATGCACTGTAGATCCAGTCTTAATTCATGAAATTGATAAAATGATGTTAAAAACTCAACAATATCTTAAAGAATGCATACATTTTATTGTAACTCCAAAATTTTATATAATTCAGAGAATTGTTAGTGCATTTTTTCATACCTTTTAATTGAGCGAACGATAATTGATGTAACGTCGGACACGGGAATTTCGCCGAAAATGACTAATAATGAGTAACGCCTCATCATAGTTAAAATAATTTTGAATTATTTAAAAGAACATTATAAGAATTATTTATGTTCTTATTTTTGATATCAAGTAAATATGACATCGCCAAACCGCCAATTTCTTTGCGACATAAAGAGTTTGATATTATAGTACCAACACCGTGCGCAACGTCTATACAAATTTAATGAATTTCGTATACGGTTATAACCAATTAAAGATATAGCAAAGTGATTTCATAGGTCCCAGCGACATCGCTATAACCGGGTGTAACTGTACTGGTCATTTTCTTGGTTATGCATCGGTTATAAAACGATAGTCAATATCGGGAACTCATTCATCAAATAAAGGTACAAACTATTGCTATATTTATTTCAGTTGACCTGCTGTTTAACAGTTAGCTAAGGAAACCATCTTGGCCTTCATTAACAGGTCTGAATGGTAAGCTGTTCCTGATTTATATTGTCTTGACATAATGTTTGCGTTTTGCTGATTTTGTATATTATTTTTTCTTAATGAGAATTTAAGTTTGAATAGTATTATCAAGGAACTTCAGAACCAAAAAGAACATCAGATAATTGAAAAATTAAATAGGTACAAATGTTAAAATGTAAAATATTTCTCAATATATTGAACGTCCGCAATGTGCCTAAAATATATGTGTTTGAATTTCTCTCGTAATATACAAAATGAAACATAAGCATAGAACAAGCCTAATTAAGATAATGTCAGTTTCAAGAGTCTATTTTCAAGCAAATTTTGCAAATCCTTAAGTACAGTCATTCTTTCTCCTATTGCAAATTCTTTTCTTGGAATTGAGGACTAAGCGTTTGATATCGCTGTTGATAAGTTTTTCTGTCAAACAATCAACAAAAATGTAACTATTTCAAACAAATTACAAACATTTAAGATATTCTCGGTTTTTTCATGTATATAGCTTTATTATATGCAATATTGTTAAAATTCTGAACTGTAATTTCAAAATTAAAATAATGTTATGTTACATGTATATCCTATAACATGAATTGAAAAGCTTAGTTCTTTAAAACTGTACACAATAAGACAATTTTTTCTCCGGTAAAAGGCTTCAAATTCAGCATATCTTAAAAGTAACGTCTCGCAGAGTAATACGTTTTTGACGTAACTCAGTGTGACGTTTGCATGGTATGATATACATATTCTTTTACCCAATCAAATATAGCGTTTCAACTAAAATTAAACCATTTTGTTTTGTATCGCAGTATTCAGTGTAATGTAGACTACGGTAGCATAGTAGTATAGTAGTATAAGCCTTAAGCAAAATTATCAAGGATATAATTTACTTATGATTTAGTTATGGTTTGATATAATTTAACATTTTTGAATGCATTTTCAATAAATGAAGGATATGGAAATAACGAACTGTTTTAAATATCCAAGTCCATAAAAAATAAAAAATAAAAAAAATAGGGGCAGAGCAAACACGGACCTCTGAAACATCAATGAAAGGACCAGGTGCTAGAGTGAGCATCCCAATAAAATATACAATTTTAAGGGTTTTATGCTTCGAAAAAAATAAACTTTGTAATTACATGTGTACTACTTAGAGCAATCGGGATAGTTATTTTTTTTGAAATCTCACAATTTGGTGACTTTTTTACATTTACATTTATTTACTTGAATGGAAAAGAAATCCCTAGGGCAGAAGTACAAAAAATATGGAAAAAATGTAATAATTTGTTGATTTTCCGACAAATCCAAAAGGGTCCAAAAGTAAAGTTTGACAACATTTAAGATGGCCCACTAAGAAATTCGGGTGGTGAACATTTGATTTTTTTTTAATCCTAAAACAATAAATATAACAGTACAGTAAAATTTAATAATAAAAAAATATCAAAATCTCTAGGGCAGAAATACTTATACTCGGCCTCGTTTAATTGTAAACGATAGAATCAATTATAAGGCATTCGGGTGTTTTATTTTTTTAATTGCATTAAAAGTAATTGTAATAATTAGAAGGATAGATATTCATGTGGATTACCTGTTCATGTGAGGTTTTATTCTTATAAATATTATAATAATATAATATAATAATATTAAATGAAATAAATTTTAGGCCTTGTGAAACGTAAAAAATGGCAATATGACAACGACCTTAACAAAAAGAATCAGCTGTATGTCACGTGATTCGGTAATGGAGAAAATGATCCGCTAAAGGCGAAAACATCCTTCATCAATGTACAGCGATATTTTTTTTCATTTAATCAGTGGTTATTGGGAAAATATATATGATGTTATAAGGCAAATATAGTACCACCAAACAATCTTGTTAAATGAATTTAAATCGAATTCAGGTACGAACTATCCAAGCAAATTTACTTAGTGATTCGATATCGGCAACCTCACTGTAGTGACTTCTCTATATGAGTGCACATTTCTCTAAGAGAACGGGGAAAATGTTGTTGAGTTTTGTTGAGTTCTTTTTAAGAAAATTTCTTTAAGTTTTTATTTTTTACATAAAAAGCAGTCCCTTTTGTTTCAAGCTTCGTGTCTGTATTACAGCAGACCATAATAAGTGTAGGTTCAAAATTCTTTTCTTGATTTTATCGTATGCTAGTGATATTTGTACTAGCATACTCGAATTTGTCCAAATATGTTGGACATAGTACTGAATAAAGAGGTAAAGTTTCCTTGCCAATTAGTGAGGCATTTAAAAATGTCAGTGATATACTTGTTCCTCTTAACAGTGCTTAAAAGCAAAATGTCTTGGCCTGGTTTTTACAGTGTTAGCAGATTTTCAGAAAAGAACATATGTATGATTAATATCGTATATTACTGTATAAAGTAGTTTTTTCTCCCCTGTGTTATTGCGAACGATTACAAACAGTAAGAACTTTTCCAGTTTCTGTTTTAAGAGTCAAATAATACTGATTCAAATGAATAAGCTTTTAGTTTGTCAGAAAAAAAGATAAAAAGGTGTAAAAAAAAAATTCTCGAATCTCTGTACGCAGAATGTACGACAAAATTACAAGGTACATTAATTTTGACAGGTGAGCCATGACATCAACCTTGACAAGATATGTCATTTTATCCCTAATTGTGACAAATCAGGTGATTGTTACGTCAGCTGTAGTAACCAACAGACAGTTGTTACTGGGTTCGGTGATGGGTGCTACTCTACTCGTGCCGTATGTTTGTAATTATATACGTAATATAGTACTGTTAGCTTGAGATGATTTTTTTTTCGGATCGAAAAAGAAAGCAAAATTCTTTTTTGAAGCGGTTTAAACCTCGTATCAGAGAAAACAAACAAAATCAGGACCCCTGAACTAGATTATTTTGGTTGAAGTTTAATTAATAGGCGAGTTTTAAGTATTTATTATTTTAATTTTGCCGAGGAATTGATAATTTTACCAGAAAAACAGATTTATGAAATAAAATCCTTTAAATGACACCATTATAATAACTATATACAGTATGTATTTTATTTTTGGATACGTGTATTTTTTATGAATAGATAGGTAAGTAGTTTTTGATTGATGGGTGGACGCTAAACATAGAAAAAAAACTTGGAATGGGCTTTGTCAACAAATTTTAACAATGTTCTTGTCCTGACACATACATAAACTACTAGGATACACCAAATCAAAGTCTTCATGAATATATGGAGCAGCTTAATAATTGATTAACCTAAAAAATATCAGACAGTTTTCGGCCCTAAAAACACTCAAATGGTAGATTATGCATAGTAGAGAATAGGTACCTGCACTGCAAAACAAAGTCTTCACGAATATGTGGAGCAGCTTATTAACGAACCAAAAAACACTGATATGGTAGATTATGCATAGTAGAGAACAGGTACCTGCACATAAATCTGATAAGCGGCCTATTACTTAACCCGACATAACAGTTAGACAGTAGATTGTGCATATATTTATTTTTTAAATATTAATCTGAATCAGCCTAATTATGCTCCTGATATAAACAAAACACTTACATTGTACATAAAAACATAAAAGTAAAAAAAAGCTACATGTGGAGCGATCTATTGCCACACCAGACATAACACTTACATGTACAATGTAGATCAAACCTAAAAATGATTGATTGATTTATATTGTTTAACACCGGATCAGCTATTTCAGCCATATTTCGGCGGAAAATGAAAAAGAAAATCAATACATGGAATTGTCAGTTACCACTTCAGATGTAACACTCAAACATGAGATAATATGAAATGGACAAGAAAAAAGTCTATGTTAGTTTAGTTTCATTTCCAGCGATTCTTGTCCTGCTTTTCTGGAAGAGATGGAAAGTCATTCTTTAGTTGATCTGCAGTAGTTGAAGCATTATCAGCATGAATAAATGATCTGCATCTCACATTTACATGTATATATCGTGTTCACCTATATTTGATGAATTCATCCGTTATTAAAATTTAACAGTATTATCTACAGAACACATCAAAACATATTACTCAAAATGTCTATATCCTATATAGAAGTCCAGTGAAAATATATATGTTACAGGAAAGAGGAATATTTTGATGCAGTGAATTCATCTGAAAACAAATTTTAAGGTGTTTCCACCCTCACAATTTTTTTAGGTTCAAATACAAAAACTGCATTTATTTTCATTTAATATACTTTAAAATTTCCAATTATTGCACAACATGTATAGGTCACCATATAAATTAAGATGTGAAACATAAATAAACAGAAGAGTATGTCAACAAAAAAATCGCATATTTTTTGTAAACAGTATCATGAAAAAATTGTAAAAACTGGTTAAAATGCATAACTTTGATGCTGAGTGTTCTTAAATACTTCCTACTTAAGAGATACTTTTGAATTGTGAATATCAGGGAAACTATTTTACAATAAAGCAAATGCCTGAATGAAAAGACCTGAGAAGGAGTTACTGCCCTTGTCAACATTTTTTAAAGATTGAATAATTGATTAAATAATATATGCATTTTTTAAATTCTTTAACCTAACAATATTTATCATTATACCTATTGTAAAGCATTGGTCCAAGAGATATTGTTCTATTAGGTATGAATTTAAACTAATTACATTTTTTGCAAAAACCTATGACATCATAGGAGTGTGGAATTACCTTAACAAAATATCTCTTTAAGAAATATATTTTTCTGCGCAATTGCGATTACAGCTATGAAAGTGTTTGGGCTATATACTCGTACAACAGTTACTCCTTGAATGGAATAACAAAGAAGTCAAGTTCTGGTTAACATCATAGTAGATCGGTAATTATTCAGCACAGTGTAAAAATGCCTCACCGCATACAAAATGGGGAACAGTTACCCAACAATGGAATTACATGTTTTGTTCTAAGATGTTCAAAACGCATCGATGTTTAAACCATCTCTGGTTTGGATTTTAAAAAAAAAAGTCCCTAGTGTAAATATTAATAGTCATTTACTAGCGATCTCATTTTTTTTTAATGAAAAGAAAAATTATGAAAAGTAGGATTGAAATAGCTAATTTAAAGTCCTGAGGTAGGTAAGCAAAATCTAGTGATTGTATTGGACCTGCTGAAATGCAATATTGTTATGTCAGAAGTTTGAAAGGGATTGTGTGTCATGTTAATATTTATTTGACTTACCAAGAACTTCTCTTGAGTTGATATCAACAGTGATCAAAGACTTCTTTATCGTATTCCACCCCGTGGGGATCCGGGTTAGAATAGGTCTTCAGTACCCCCTTGCTTGTCGTAAAAGGCGACTTAATGGGGTGGTCCTTTGGATGAGACCGTGTAAACCGAGGCCCTGTGTCACAGCAGGTGTGGCACGATAAAGATCCCTCCCTGCTCAAAGGCCGTAAGTGCCGAGCATAGGCCTATTTGCAGCCCTTCAACGGCAATGGTGACGTCTCCATATCAGTGAAATATTCTGGAGAGGGACGTTAAACAGTATACAATCAATCAATCTATCGTATTCCTCTCCCGTTGAAACAGTGTCAGTAAATCCACAAATACCACTGCACATCATATTATTTTTCTTCACAGATGAATATAACTTTCTCACACCTGAGGTGATTGCTCTACTAACAGCTGGTGCCTTACTTGCAACAATTCCTACAAGAACCACAATGTATTGTTCAATAAAGATCTTTCTGTAACCGTGAAAGCTGCCAAGATACGGTTAATTAGGGCGAGAGTTACTTTCCTTTATTAGATGTCGGAAATTCATTATTGAACTAGATATATTTTTGACCAGACCCTACCACATATAATTATTCACATTCCATATTCAGGTGTTTTAAATGGCAGGATTCTGTGAGAGTCTGATGTCTAGGTTTTGATTAATACTGTGTCTGTATCCATAATTGAACTTGTATATTCATATCAGACCGGTGTATCATTAGTGTGACCATTGACTTACAGTGTAATTGCCTTTGATGTAATTGCTGATGCATTACAGTTTTTAATTTGAAATATCATTAAGCTTTTTCTTTGATTTCCATACTTCTTTGATATAAAATATATTTGATTTATGTTGTCGACTTTTAAAAAAAACTAATGTGAAGTGTTTTCAACATTGGAAAGAAATCATTTTTAACATCATTTGAATCATTGATTCAGTAATCAAATGATTTACTTTCAAACATTTCTACTTAGTCTTTTTTTTCTTTTCAGTGTAGTCCTAACAACGACAACAACTACAACAATCCCGACCACAACAACAGGGTATTGTCTTACAATGATTTGTTGTTCTAGCCCAAGCTCTAATTCATGTTATCGTTTTATATTAATTTGGTATTCAGTTCTTTCCCTAACCCAAGGTATCGTAATATAATGATTTGTTGTTTAAACCCTAATCCTATCCCAAGGTATTGTTATATACCGATTTGTTATTTAGTTCTTACCCTAACCCAAGGTATTGTTAAATACTGATTTGGTACTAAATATATTACCCTAACTCAAGGTATCGTTTTATACTGATGTTTTGTTCTAATTCTAACCGTACCCCAATGTATTGTTTTATAATGATCTTGTTGTTCTTAACTGAATCCTAATCCTATCCTATTGTTTTGTTTTATAAGGATCTCATTTTTCTCAACCTAACCGTTATCTTAACCCTAAAGAATAGATTCGGAACAATTTTGAAATTGTTTTAAATTCTTAATAATTGCTTTTTGTAATCATATTTCGGTACATACATGATTTTTTGGATCAGAGGTCGCGATTTTTTAAGTAACACGGATGAACGAACAAGGCGTCTTTACAGCCGTTCATATTTTTCTGGTGATGAATCTGCATCGCACTCTTAGAGATTTTTCAAAAACCATTAGGTCTACCCACTGCCGAAGGTCTTTTTAGAAAGATTTATTTACCTTTCATTTAACACAGTATCAGCATGACAAATATTCCTGCTATTCTGTAACGGGATCTTCCATCATAGGAAATAAATAGTTCCTCAGACGGTGGTTCACATGTTTTATTTATTGACAAATTGTAGAAAGGATGAAAGGTGTAATATATATGATCTGAAATGAAAATGACACACTCGTACAAAATTACTTGCACTAATATTCATTTAATTTCTAAATTTTTTTCATATTAAATTATTCTTACAAGTCTCATTCCAATGTATGTAACCAGGATTAAGAATATCTTAGTAATACTCTTTTAAATTTCTCACAGTAGTACATGTATTTCCCATTAAAGAATTGTCAAAATTAATGGAAATTGGGCATGCATAAGTAATTATACAAAGACTCATAAATGCGTCCATATCTACCACCCTCACGCATTCTGGTTTTACCACACACAACAAGAATAAAGAACAGTCCACAAGACGATAAGTGACATCTAAAAAGCCGAGTGTCAAGGTACAGGTACATAGAAGTCGACAACAGTAGCTCAGAAATACAGTGAAACTCATTTAGTACGAACTCGGATACAGCGAATTTACGGATATATGAAAGTTTTTTCATACTTGGATATTTTACTTGAAAAGGACACAAATGGTAATCTAACAACCAAGCTATATGATAAACGTGATGACTTTAACTTTTCTATCGACAGCTTCCCTTATTTATGCAGCAATATACTTTCATCACCTACATACGGAGTATATACACCTCAGTTGATTCCATATGCAAGAGCATGCTCTACGTATGAACAATTTCTTAAACGAGGTAAATTATTGACAAGCAAGTTGATGAAACAAGAATATCAGCAGTCTCGTTTAAAGTCATCATTTCGTAAGTTTTATGGTCGATACAATGACCTTTCTCATTATGAATTTGCATACGATAAGGTCGATTTCTATCCGACGAGGCTCATATACATGTACATTTCATTTTATCTCTTTCAGACAACCAACTTGTACTGCATCTGGGTATAAATACGACCCTGCAGCGGGATGTTACCTGGTTGTAGTTAGATCCATTTCTATACCTGCTGCCAAACAGGAGTGCATTGACGATGGGGGCAATTTATTGTTGGTTAATTCTAAAGCAGAGGGAGTTGTACTTACAGCAGAATTGAGTAAGAAAATTGATGTAACAAAAACTAACTCCTTATTTTTTTTTTAATTTAAACAACGCATTGAAATCGACTACTGACTAGGATTTTGTATATATTAAATTCGTCTTAGAATGTAGTAATGTAGTCTCTAAACCAAATACAATACAATATGCGCATGTCTAGTACTTAGCGGAGGTGTCTGAGTCTTACATGTAGGCTTTGTCTTTCAACGTTTTTAACCCAAGGATTCCGTCTTTTTGAAGTACTGTAAATCACTTTTTATTCGCGAGAACTTTATTTTCGCGTAATTATTCGAGACGGTATGCTCGCGAATAGAATTTCTTTAGAGTACATAGAGCAATGACCACAATTCGTGAAAATTTTGACTCGCTTAGAAATAGTCAGTGACTATCTCGCGAAAATAAGGTGTTGCTAAAACTAAGTGATATACAGTACTATGATAGTTGCTTCTGGAACTAATGATACTCAGAAGACGATCTTCCTCTGCTTCAGTAATAAAACTCTTTCACTGAAATTAGAAATACACTTCTTTGGTTATTTACCGGTCAGGGTAGCCTAGTGGTAAAGCGTTCGCTTCGTGATCGGGAGGCCCGGATTCGATTCTCGTTCGCGGCGCCGCGTCATACCTAAGACGTTAACAAAGGTAGTGACTGTTCCTTCGCCAAGCGCTCGGTACTAGTAGTGAAAGTCACGGGTCTTTCGGATATGACCTTAAAAACGTAGGTCCCCTGTAACGGTAGGCGCTGGCACGATAAAGAACCCTTATTGCTCAATGGCCCTGAGCGCCGAGTATAGGTCTAAATTTAAAGCCCTTTACCGGCATACGGTGACGTGTCCATATGAGTGAAAAATTCTCAAGAGGGAGGTTAAACAATATACAATCAATCAATCAATCAATCTTTGATTATTATGATATTATTGTAAGATATGTCTGTCCTATCATGTATTGTGTGTGTATCATATCGTATTTTGTTTTCCGTTTCTTTTATTGTTGTTTTCATTTATCTTGTTTTATGTTTATCGTAAAGATCGTTTATCAGGTTTTATCTTGTATCATTTATTGCATTTATCGTGTACATTCGGAAACCCTCGCTTTTTATTCTTACTGTGGGAACATACCGTAAATCTGGAAATTTTTATGTCGATTTTATTTTGCTAATTCGGGTCAAAATGCTGTTGATTAATTTTTACGTTTCAAAATTTTGCGAATGGCCACTTCTTTATTTAAATTTTCTTATTGGTAATTTATTTTTAAGAAAAAATATTTTTGCGAATGGTTTGAACTCGCAAATTTGCTAAAAAAAATCATCTGCAGCAAAAATTTCCAGGTATGGAGAAGTGATGTGCAATTTTTTTTCCTGAGGTGGTCCCCCTTTATGCCCGTGTCAAAGTTACATGTACTCGTATATGGGTAAAATTTTGTGTGATTGTAAGTTGGCAATTTATGATTCCTTTTGTTTTAATAATACGTAGGTCACACGGATGCAAGAAAATGCCGTTTTTAACTTTAAAAGACGGTCGTGAGTCTTCACAAAATATTCTTAAAAAATAATAATATTTTGTAAAAGGAGAAGAATAGATAAATAGATAAACCATAGTCAAGCAAAGAGCGTTACTTGAAATTTAAACCTTATTTTCGGAAATGATTGATTGATTGATTGTATATTGTTTAACGTCCTTCTTGAGAATTTTTCACTCATATGCCGGTGAAGGGCTTCAAATTTTGACCTTTACTCGGCATTCAGGGCCATTGAGCAGTGAGGGATCTTTATCGTGCCAAGGCCTGCTGCTGACACGGGGTCTCGGTTTTTAAGGTCTCATCCGAAGGACCTTTCACTTCAAAATGCCGAGCGCATGGCGAAGGAACAGTTGCTGCCCACTTTAACGACTAGGTCGGTCGCGGCCGAGATACGAACTCACGACCTCCCGATCACGGAAAGAGAGCTCTACCTACTGAGCTACTTTGACGGTTTTTTCGGATATGAAAAAAATACCTAGCTCTGTTTTTCTTAATATATCGAATTGTGAGTTTAAATTCCTTGAATACTAATGAAATGCATGCGTAAAAAGTTGACTGTCTTCGTAAGAAAATCTATACTTATAAATTAATAAATTTTGCAAATAAACTCCGAAACGGGTGCACAAGACATCTTACTTACCCCTCTAATACTACACTACATACAAGATGATGTCCGTAAACTATATTCAGATTTCACTCGGATAGTAAATATCGTACATAAAATTAAAAGTCTACTTCAATTTTCTGAAAACAGCCATGAAATAGCATCAACGTGAGAATTGTGGCGTTTCCGGTTGGCGGATCTAAGCTACTGACAAAATTTAATGAAACTGACAGCAAACAATCTATTATTTATTTCATAAAATGTCATCACTGAATTATTCAATCAAAACTTGATTTAATTGATATAAAAGAAATAAGTTGTGGTAACCAATTTAAAAAGCGAAAAGTGTTATTATTTTCGTCAATCACCGATCTCAATATTGACAGAAGCTTCTAGAACATCGCGTCCCTTTTGCTACATTGTTTTAATCAAGAAATAATTATAAATATTGCAATCAACGGATTAGTTGATTAAATAGTTTTACAACAAATGATGTTATATAAATTAAAATACAATAAAAACAATAGTTTTGTAAAAACGAGCAAAATATGCTTGGAATTTATCAGAAACATATTGTTGTCGGGAAAAAAAACCACTAATATTTATTGATACAAGGATTATATAAGTAAACAAATGGTACATGAAAATCAAGCGTTAGATAGTGCAAGTATCAGATTTGAATTCATGACAAGCCGACAGCGAGGTATCATAGTTGAGGACGAGTGAATGACAAACGAAAATATTTTGAATACTGGAAATACATACATCGAAAGACTAAAGTAGATACGTAGTGTACATATATCTTTTTCTTCTGAGTTTATTGATAAAAACTGTATTTTCCGTACTGAGAGCATCGTGGTAACGAACCCGACGTACAATTTGTATCCACTTAATTGCGTTCAATAAGAGAGAAAACTTAAGAATAAGGTATTGTTCAAATACAATTAATTACATCTATAAAGTTTTGTGCTTCCATAAAGACATTTCAGCTTTTTTTTTTTCTCTAAAAATTAAAGTCTTCCTCCAATGCCAATTTCTTTCAGAACCAAAGTTTTGGTATTCAACACTGCATTTCCCTTATATGAATTTCCTGTAGTATTAAGGGGGGGGGGGCACCCAGCCTTTCACTGAACATTTCCAATAGTAAAAGTATTGGTGGGAAAAAAAGTTGGGGGGCAGCCTTTTTACGTATCGATAAGGGTACATATATTATTATTAACCAAGACCCAAGTACCTGTGAATTTTTACCCCTCCCCCAACTCCTCAAAATCAATTTATTTGTATATTATGTATATTCGTTGCTTTTATCCTTCATGAAAATGAAATAAGAACATTTGAAGTGCAATATTCATAACATTGTATGAAGTTTTGAAGACATAAACGTCAATTAAAGCAATTTTTATTTTTAAAGTTTTCACAAAAAGTGGGTGGGAATGGTGACGTACATAAATATTTCTTTCATGCGGACTTTTGAACATAGTATTTCTTCCCTCTATAAGTCTGTAGTCTGTCAGTAAAATCTACAACTTCTAACTGCAATATATAATTTTCTGTTGTAAATGGTAAAGTTCTATGTATAAATTCAATTTCCCGCGCTTGCGCGGGTAATTATCTAGTATTATCTATGAAAGTGAATTAACATAACCCTTTATTTAACCTTTACTCCTTATGAGTTTTACATAAAATTCACGAGATTTGCTTCTTAACCCCCTTTACGTATCTCTGTACACGTCTTCTAAGCCAAATTCTCTTTACACATGTACACTTATATGATGTCAACGGTCGTTTGTGTTTAAATTTCCATATTTCTACTTTGTATGGCCGAGTTTCTAAGACAAACCCTTCCAATTACAAATAGAACGTTCTCCTAATACCAACGAGGTTGTAAGGTAAGGTAGCGCCGTGTTTTTATGCATTTACAAACTTTTAAATCCTTGCCTCATGATATATGTGTATTATGAATTTCGTTTACTAAATAATTTCTAAATAATTACTCGTAGTATAACTCCGCTACGTATTCACCTTTTTGTGCGCAATAAATGTACAGGTTTTTTTTCATTGGGTGGCACTGTAGCTCTTTGATCTATCATTTGTGGTATATTTTTAAAGAGCAACAGTTATGCAGCTACGTAACAGTTTAATCCAATTTCTGATTTCTTTTAGAACACATTTTTGAGTATGGCCCTTCGTATACTGGAATATGGCAGATCAAATGATTTCGGGGACTTATTTTTTCTTTCTGAAAGGCGCTTTTTTCAAGTTTGGAAAATGAAACAAGTCAAAAGTTAAAAGATCTGGCGAATATTGTTGGTGTGACAAAACATTAACTATCTGTTTATCCCCCAAACCCCTTTACTCTTCATGGCGTTGGGTTTCGACGCTGTCATGAAAACATTTGATTAGAATATCCCTGATTTTAAATCCATCCTCACATTTACATTTCTATGTTTTTGCAAAAAATTGCTTTCCAGACTTCTCCAGAAATTGAAATGCCTCCCCGAAGAATTTGAACAACAAGACCACTTATATTTAAGAAAATGGCAAAGAAAACTGTTTTTGTGATTTTGCAGAGCTTCACTTTTCTCAGAATTTTGCCGTTTTTGTCAAGTGCATCTTAATGTTAATTTGTTTTGAAAGATTAAAGCAATGGATTCAAGTTTCATTATCTGTTTGAATTTCAAAGACCTCCGATATACACTTTGAAAAATAGATGAATATAGTAACAATAGCATAATAATTTAATACCTAAGATATCCTTTACTTCATATTTTAAACATATTAGATAAAACTAGAGGTACTGTGAGCAATGAGCTCACTAAATGATACCCCCCGCCTCCCATATGATTATAATGGCAAAGTCCATGTTTTGCGGTGGCCAGGAAACCCAAAACATTTGTCGGATCAAAACATGAAATAGGAGGTGC